GATTCAGTCACAAGCTCAAACGAGCACAATTGAGCTGAATTTTGTCCACCAAGTCAAAATACATTGAGTTAAAAGTGAAAAACTCCTGGAATTTGTCTAGGTAAGGCTGCGGTATGCCATCCTCTTCTATTGCTTTATTCGCAGAACAAGTCCAAGAACCGTGACAAATTAGATTTCTGTTTCTTATTCCATAATAATCCTTTTTTAGCTTATCGAAGATTGTTTGGTAGAAGACTAGTAACCGCAATAATGTCTCGCCTGCGCAGACAACTATTCCATTCCATCTCCCTTTGAACAAAATTTGAACTCCTCTTGTATGGCAATTTGTTTTTCAGCCTTTGCGAGGTTCTTCTTTCAAAACGCCGAGCTCTAATGTCTCTAATTACTACAGTCTACGAAAAAGAATGGAAGTAGTTTGCGAGGGTTGGGATGGTTGGCGGTTAAAAGTCCTCTACGCAAATTCTTTCCAATGTTTGTTATTTCTCAATAAAAACTTTACAAATCTTCATCATCTCCATCATCTTCATGTAATCTTGCGTTTTTGCTGTATATTCACTTTTCCAAAAATAAACGCTTACCAAGCAGGAAGAGCAATCGGTGCAAATTTCGACATTGAAGCTGCCATTGCAAAAATGGCTGTAAGAGCAGTCAAGAATGGAGTTTTCTGCTCAGCTCCATGAAAAAGTCTGCAAGATATGATGAGAGCTCTCTTGCTTTAATGCAAAATCAGATTGCTAACCTATAGAAGAGCCTTTTCCAAATTGTGTACACGTCCAACGAAATTGTGGTGCATGAGAGAATTAGGAAAAGAGCTGCAGTCGCAATAAAAAACCTTTTTGCCTTTTCGTCTATAGCTAGGCTTCTCCAAGTTGAATGCTAAACGGACACAATCCTCTTTGGAATTTTATATCACATCCTTGAAAACTTAAAGAAATGGAAAAAAAAGGTACGAGATTACAAAATTTTTTGAATCTTCCCCCACCATTGCTATAAGCTGGAGAAGTGTTGCAGTAACCACGCCGACATTCAAAAATGAGATCACAACTCCGGCTGCCTGCCATACGGATGTGGACGATGAAACTCCGAAGGAAAGACGAGAAGAGGCCAACCACCTAAATCCTTCCACCATTTTGTTTGTTTACACCAATTTCTACAATTGGGATTAAGCAGGTTACCTGTAATCAAGCCACAGGTAGAAAACTGATGGCATGAGAGTTGTAGCAGCCATGGACAAAGCTAGCGCCCTCATAAGTTTGCTACCTCTAGCTGATAAAACACAGATAATACCTAAAATGTAACTCCTAACAAGGCTAAGGATGGTATTGGAACGACTAGAACGTGCCCAGGGTCAATTGTGTGAAAATCCATGCCGGTTCGTCCAGTGTGTAATTAGCAAACAATGCTCTGAGTCTATCTTGGCCGGTAAGCATGAAAAACTCGCAGAAATAACATGTGAAGCGAACCACGCCGAGAATCACAAGAGCTGTTCCCATACCAAGAAGCCTCACGGAGGGTAACTGGATGATT